GTTCGTGTCATCTTTGATTTCTTTGAGCAGTGTTTTACAGTTTTCATTGTAAAGTTCTTTCACGTCTCTGGTTAGGAAGATGCCAAGGTATTTCATTTTTTTTTTGTGGCTATTGTGAATGGAATTGTGTTTTTTATTTGGGTTTCTATTTGTTTATTATTGTTGTAGAGAAATGCGATTGTCTTTTGTACATTTATTTTGTATCCTGAGACTTTGCCAAAGGCCTTTATCAATGTAAGGAGGTTTTTGACAGATTCTCTTGGGTTTTCAAGGTACACAATCATATCATCTGCAAAGAGACACAACTTGACTTCCTCTTTTCCTATTTTCCTGATTGCTCCAGCCAGGACTTCCAATACTATGTTGAACAGGGGGGTGAGAGTGGGCATCCTTGTCTAGTTCCAGTTTTCAGGCGAATTGGATCCAATTTTTGTCCATTTAGGAGTATGCTGGCTGTGGGTTCCCCGTATGTCTAGATGTTCAAGGGTTTTTATCAAGAAGGGGTGCTGGATTTTATCAAAAGCTTTTGCTGCATCTAATGATATGACCATGTGGTTTTTGTTTTGACATCTGCTGATGTATTTAATTACATTTATGGTTTTACGAATGTTGAACCAGGCTTGCATCCCAGGAATGAAGCCTACTTGGTCATGGTGGATGATTTTTGAGATGTATTGCTGAATCCGGTTTGCTAGGATCTTGTTGAGAATTTTAGCATCTATGTTCATCAAAGATACTGGCCTGTAGTTCTCTTTCTTTGTTGGATCTTTACCTGGCTTGGGTATCAATGTAATGTTGGCTTCATAAAATGATTTGGGAAGAGTTCCATCTTTTTCAATCATCTGGAATACCTTCAGTAGGATTGGTATCAGTTCCTCCTAGAATGTCTTGTAGAATTCTGCTGGAAAGCCATCTGGACCAGGGCTTTTTTTGTAGGAAGTTTTCTTATTACATAGTCGATTTCCCTGATTGTTATTGGTCCATTTAGTGTCTCAATTTCTTCTTGTTCCAACCTAGGTAGGTTGTATGATGTCAGAAAGTCCTCCATTTCCTTAAGGTTTTCAAGTTTGCTTCCATACAAGTGTACGTAGTAGTCTCTAATGATCTTTTGTATTTCTTCAGGGTCAGATGTGACTTCATCTTTTGTTTTTCTGATTGTGCTTATTTGGTTTTTTTCTCGTTTTTTCTTGGTCAGTCTAGCTAGGGGACCATTGATCTTGTTTATCCTTTCGAAGAACCAGTTTTTTGGTTCATTGAATTTTTGTATTATCTTTTTGTCTTCTATGTCCTGGATTTGGGCTTTTAGTTTGGTTATCTGGATTCTTCTGCTGAAATTAGGGTTTTTGTGATCTTGCTTTTCCAGCTTCTTTAAGTGGCTTGTTAGGTTGTGAATTTCTGTTCCTTCCATTTTCTTCATGTGTGTTTGTAGGGATATAAATTCCCCTCTTAATACAGTTTTCAGGGCATCCCAGAGATTTTGGTAAGATGTTTCTTTATTTTCATTTGTTTCCAGATATCTTTTGATCTCTGTTTTGATTTCATCATTGACCCAGGAGTTGTTTAGCATCATGCTGTTTAGTGTCCATGTCTTTGTGGGTTTTCGGGGGACTTTGTTGGTGTCAATGTTTATTTTTATTCCACTGTGGTCCGAGAAGATAAATGGTAGAATTTCAGTCCTTTTAAATTTGCTTATGCCTGATTTATGGCCGAGTATGTGGTCGATCTTAGAATATGTTCCATGTGGTGATGAGTAGAATGTGTATTCTGTGGTCTTTGGATGGAGTGTTCCGTAGGTATCAATTAAGTCCATTTGGTCCAAAGTCACATTGAGGTTCCGGATATCCTTGCTGATTTTTTGTCCTGATGATCTGTCGAGGGTTGTGAGTAGGGTATTAAAGTCCCCAGTTATGATGGTGTTAGAGTCAATATCTTTCTTTAGTTTTCCTAGAAGTTGCTTAATGAAAGTTGGCGCACCTATGTTGGGTGCATATATGTTTAGGATAGATATTTCTTGTTGATGGATTGAGCCTTTTATCATTATGTAGTGGCCTTCTGTATCTTTTTTGATTTTTAATAGCTTGAAGGGTATTTTGTCTGAAATTAAGATAGCTACTCCTCCTTTCTTTTGTATTCCATTCACCTGAAAGTTTGTTTCCCATCCTCTTTGAGTCTGTGGGTGTCCTTTCTAGTGAGGTGAGTCTCTTGAAGGCAACAGATTGTTGGCTGATGATATTTTATCCATTTTGCCATTCTATGTCTTTTCAGTGGCACATTTAGTCTGTTCACATTTAGGCTAATAATTGAAATGCAAGAGTTGATCCCTGTCATACGGTTCTTACAGAGTTGTTCCTCTTTGTTTGTTGTCTTTCTTTGGGTTTTGGAGTTGGTTCATGTGTGTTTTTAATCTTTTGCCTGTACTCTTGTGAAGAATGCTGTTGTTCTTTTTTTTTTTTCTTCTGTGTTCAGTACTTTCTTAAGTGTTTCTTGTAGAGGTGGTCTGGTGGCAGTGTACGTTCTGAGGGATTAGATATCTGGAAGAGATTTCAACTCTCCCTCACTAATGAAGCTTAGTTTGGCTGGGTAGGTTATTCTTGGTTGAAATTATTTCTCTTTTAGAACTTTGAAGATAGGGCTCCAGGCTCTCCTGGCCTGAAGTGTTTCTGTGGATAAATCTGCTGCTATCCTAATTGGTTTTCCCTGGTAGGTAGTCTGGCCATTTTCTCTTGCTGCCTTTAGGATTTCTTTTATAGCTACTTTGTTTAGGAAATTATTATGTGTCTGGGAGTTGGTCTTCTCATTTGTTGTCTTGCAGGGGTTCTCTGAATCTCTTGTGTTTGAATTTTTTCATCCTTAATGAGATGAGGGAAGTTTTCTTGTATGATTTCATGAAATGTTTGTTTCAGTGTGGCTTATGTTTCTCTCTCTGCCTCAGGAAGCCAAATTCCTCTTAGGTTTGGTCTCTTGAAGTGATCATTCATCTCTTGCAGGTTTTGTTCTGTCTTTTTGAGCTTCTTTTCTATGCTTTTGACAGTTTGGGTTAGTTCTGTGTTTTGGTCTTCGAGCTCTGAGATTCTTTCTTCTGCTTGGTTGATTCTGCTTTCCATGCTTATTAGTCTGTTGTTCATTTCCATCACAGTATTGTTTACTGCTGTCATTTCTGACATCAGCTCCTTCCTATTTTCCTCTTGTCTCTCCTCAATTTTTTAAATTCTCTCCATTAATGTCTTGATGTCTGGGTTTGTTGCATGTGACCAGTCATTCTGGGGGCTCTTCATTGTTTGTGTTCCAGAATCTGTTTTCTCAGTGTCTGATTTCCCAGGGGTCTGTTTGAGGCCTGCATTCTTCTTTTGGTTTTTCCTCATTTGTGCGGTTTCCCCCCCTCCCCACTTTTTCCTTCCCTCCACGTCACCGTCTTCTTTAATTCTGTTATTCAGGGGTAAAGGGATTAGTTTTACTTCTGTTTGTTCAATCTCCTATTCTTTATGTATGTCCTCTTACTTTGTTCAGTTCTGGAGTTGCACTGTAGGTTGGAGGTGGTCCTTTTTGCAGTTTTGAGATTTACTTAAGGGGGGAGCTGTGATTCAAAATCTACTTGCAGGTCCTGGTATTCGCTGACAGGTGTGTGGATAATCTGGAACCCACTTCCCACTGCCCTGGAATCTGTCCGTGCAGTGGGGTCGTAGGTTTACTCCCTGAAATAAAACGTGATTAGCAGTGGGGAGAGAATGGAGCAGATAGTGGGTTGAAGAGGGGACTGGAGAGATAGAGGAGTAAGGGGGAAACAAACGAGTGTGCCAACAAACAGAGAGAGAGGCCTATACTGAAACAGATAAAAATAATAGACCACAGCTACAGACGAACCAATTGTCATACAAAAAATAAAAAATAAAAATAAAACATATAGTGATGCTAACATACAAGCTAACCAACCACCTTGTGAGTGTGCTGTTCCTCTATACAAAGATATGCTTTACAGAGAGAAGAAAAGAGAAAAAAAGAAAAGGAAAAAAGAAAAAAGGGAACAATACAGTAGGAATAGAATTAAGTCATTAAACTAACAGAATCAATGAAGCACACTCTGAGACATTTCGTTTAAGTCTAATGTCGTTTCAGGTCTGATTTCTAGTTTTCTTTTCAAGCTGGTAAATTAGTTTGCAGTTAGGGTCAGTTGCCCCTGGTCTGCTGTGAAGGACAGTTCAGATTACCCTCCGTTCAGCACTCTGGTCTATGTCTTTATCAAGCTTGTTTCTCCTGTTTCGGTGTTGTTACCTTGAATCACCAGCAGGTGGTGTTATCTCAGCTGCTCGCCCCGGGGGTGGGGGCAGACAGGAACAAGATGGCTGCCTGCCTCAGGGCAGACAAGAGGAGACTTACGGCAGGCAGGCAAGACATCTCTGTCGCAGGAAAGGTGGCAGCGATACCAGCAGATCTTCCCTGAAGGGGCTTGAAGTTTGAAGTAGTTCACCTCGAGCCGGGTGATGCGATGTGCTACGGCTGTCATGGAGGCCGCGGTGGTGGCGGGGGAGGTCCTGTGGCGGCGGCGGCACCGTTTGCGCCACAGTGACTGTCCAGTCCGTTGCGATGCCCCAGCGGTGGGAACGGCCGAGCTCTGTATGAAGAGCAGGCTGCGATGTTGGGGTCCGCAGCCCCCCGGGGCGAGAGTCAGAGACCCACTGCAGATCTCCTTTGCAGAGGGCTTCACAGACTGGGTTGCCCCGTCGCCATCTTGCCGCTTCTCCCAAGAGCATTATTTATACTTCTCTAGTGAGATACTGTAATCCTCATTTTACAAGTAAAGTAACAGAATCCAAGATTAGGTAACTTGCTAATTGTTACACAGCTATTAAGAACACAGCTAAGAACCCAATTATGCCTGTTTCTAAAACCCATGCATATAATAAGCCACACTGCTAAATTATGACGACTGTCTATTAATTGATGCCTATGACCACTGTTAAAGGACAATCATATTTAATGATGTACTATTAAAGAATTCTTACCTTTTTGTACATAGCTGTTATATCAGAATCCAAAACAATTATATTCCTTAGCTTTGCATTTATTTCAGTTACTGAAGGCTTCATAATCATCTCCGAATCAAGCCCTAAGGGAATAAAAGAGTGACTAATTGCCTTTTCTTTCACTTGAGTTCTGAATTTATTTCTGTGAAATGTTATTACCTTCGATCTTAATTTCAGAAATGCTACGTGTCTGATCTTGAATAAAGATCTGCAAGCATGATAATTCTGCTAAAATCTGCAAAGTAATAACATCTTCATCTGTGGATAGTTTTGAAGCTGAAAAACAATCATATTGTAAAAGTAAGGTAAAACTTCTTGTAGTTACTTCACAACACTTATAAAGTAACAAAATATCACCAAAAATAGTGACATATTAGAAAAAACAGGGTTTGCAACTCAGCTGAAAGCAAGGTAAGATATGCCCTACTGAACTGAGGACCTAAAAAACAATCAAATCTAATGAAGACAAAAGGAAATAAACAGAAAAAACACTGTTACTAGAGGAAACTAAACATCTGAAACTAAGAAACTGTAGCTATGAATTCCTAAGTCTTTTAAGTCTCAATGATTATTAGGAAATACTTGTCAAAAAATCGCAAATTTTCACTGCTTAAAAAGCACTGTACTCTGATTTGAAAATATGCGCTGATATTACTCTTTTTTTTTTGAGATATGGTCTTGTTTTGTCACCTATGCTGGAGTGCAGTGGCAATCACAGATCACTGAAGCCTCAAACTACTAGGCTCAAGCAAGTCTCCTGCCTCAGCCTCCAAAGTAGCTGGGACTACAGGCACATAAAGCCACACCTAGCTAATTTCTTTTCTTTCCTTTTTTTCAAGAAATGAAGTCTCATTATTGCACAGGCTTGTCTTAAACTCTTGGCTTCAAACAATCCTCCCACCTCACCCCTGAATTGCTGCAATTATAGGCATAAGTCACCACACCTGGATGATATTTAAATTTTGTTAGTTACATTGGTCTAATCTAAAATAATGTTATTAAATGCATACATTTTAATCTAAATCAAATATTCCTACTGCATAATCTTCAACTAAAATCAATCACTGTAATTTTTAAAAGTCACATTTTCTTCAGCAATAATCAGTTTCCTTTAACATTATTTACCTGATATAATGAACTCTGCTAGATATTATTGTAGGCAACAGAATTCTGCAGCCAATATTAGAAGATAATAAAGACAAAGCCTTAGATTTATTGATCTATTTGGTGAAAAAAAGTGAAGTTGAATTTGAAGGAAACCTACCAATTTTTTTAATGACATCTCCTTTATCTTCAGTTTCTGTAATGTTCACTGAGGCTGATTTATCCTCTGATTGTGGAAGAATATTATTAAGATAACGGATTGTATTCAGAAGTGCTTCAGTGTGTAAATGAATATCCAAAGAGGAAAAATTCACCTAAAGGACAAGGCTGACATTAGTAATAGGCCAATAACTATTTACTTGTCTGCTCTCTATAAGGCACTGTATTTTATAGACAAAAGATGCAACTCATAATATTGTTTTTATCTTTAATGATCTTATAATCCCATGTAGAAGATAATTCCCATAAGAAATAGAAATGCAGTATCTAATTAAAAAATAAATAATTATCCACTCATACCTTAATCAGTTGTAAAACATTGTTATAAGTACTGTTCAAGTTGGGGACATTGTTTTCAACCTATTCAAAAATGAAAAATCTGTTAGAACATGTCAGTAAGACATACAAGGGGGAGCCCACAAAAAACAGAATATTTCTGGGGAGGGCGAGCCCCTTGTAGTATAGGCTTCCCCCCCTAGGTAAGTGTTCTAGGAACCCATTGGCATCAGTGTACCAGCTAACATTGTTGACAGGCTGTGTTTGGCTTTAGTTAATTTTTTTTTTTTAATTTCAGCGCAGTCTCCCATTTCATGATGGGTGATTTAAGAACACACCTCTCCACATCACACGCAGTGTTCAGCAGGTTTTGACCAAAAGTGGCATGACTTTGCTGCCCCACCCACCCTACTCATACTATGCTGACCTGAGCTACTGCTTTTTGTTACCCTAGATGAAAAAAGTCTTCAAAGGGAAATGTTTTTCAGATGCAGAAGATACAAAACAAAAAAAAGGCAGCAGCACTAAAAGGCATCAAAATTGATGAATTAAAAAACTCTCGAGCAGTTGAAAAAGTGTCTCGATAGGTGTATTGCATCAAATGGAGAGTACTTTGAAGGTAACTGAAGCTTAAACATGTAAGAATACATAATTTTTTATAAATAAATTCCAAGTTTTTTTGGTTCCCCCTTGTATATATACAATCACATAATGGTTCTAATATGCATTTATCTAATTTTTCCATCTCTTTATATAACAGAAACGTAGCATTTCTGAAATTAAGATTGAAGGTAATAATATTTCACAATATTTTATACATATAATATATATGTGTACATATATGTGTGTGTGTGTGTGTGTGTGTGTGTGTGTGTGTGTGTGTGTATAAATTTATTTATTTACCTAAACAAACAAGTGCTTCACAAGAACAAAAGAAAATGGAAAATGGAAGTACGGGAATCTTTGGCCCATAGCAAGCATTCAATAAATGTTACATATTATCATTTGTATTATATTCTTATTATCAAGACAGGAAATGCTAGATATTATCAAGTATGAAGAACAATCATTTGATCATTAATGGTTCTGTACAGTTCTATTTCTTCCTGTATTTGAAAAAAAATTGTGACAGAATTGTCTACCAAGTATCTAAATATTATCTGTTTTTTTTTTTAAATCATATTTTTGTCAAATCATAACTGTATACATTTACGAGGTACAATACGTTTTAACATAGGTATACAATATGAAATGATTAAATTAAACTAATATATCCATCACCTCACTTTCATATCACTTTTTGTGGTGAGACATTTGAAACTCACTTTCTTAGTTATTTTAACACAACAATGCATTATTATTGACTATGGCTCCTCTTGCTGGGCAATACATCTCAAAAGTATTCCTCCTGTATCTCTGGAAATTTATGCTATTTGATCAATGACTCATCCCTTCCCTTTGTGTCCAACCCAACCTCTAATAACCATCATTTTGCTCTCTATTTCTATGAGCTCAACTTTATTAGATTCCACATACAAAAGAGATACACAGTATATATCTTTCTGTGTTTGGCGAATTTCACTTAGCATAATGTCCTCTAGATTCATCCATGTTGTCAGATATGACAGAACATCCCCCCTTTTAAGGCTGAATGGTATTCCATTCTGTATATATACCACATTTTCTTTATCTATGCGTTTTCTTTAGAGTTAGAATACCTCTGTAACCTAAAAGCTGTTTAATGTATACACAACAAAAATACTAAAATACCTACATCAATAAAGGACAGCAAAAATGGTCTTAAAACATGATTAAAAAAAAAAACTTTCAGCATTATTCTTACTATAATAGTGTAGCACTGTAAAAACAGGTTAGTGGAAATAAGGGATAAATTAGAAACAGACCACAGCACACAGAAAAACTTAACAGAAAACAAAATGGGTACCATAAATCAATAAAAAAGAACGGAGATATTGACAATAGGAAAACCAGGTAACTTCACACAATAGTGGGAAATAAAGTAAAAGCATCATTTTGTATCATATACGACTATAAGTTCCATCAAAACTAAGAAGTTTGTTTCTTTTTCAGTACAATGGTGGGAGAAAAATCAATCAAACTACAGATCATTTCTATTCAGAACATAATCTTCTCATTTTGCTATATAAATATTAAATCACAACTGTTTAATACAAAATGATAAGACCAAAAAAATTTAAAGTGTTTGAGTTACAAATTACATTAGAAAGAGGATTAAATAACTGAGTATTACCAAACTTAGAAAACTTGATGATAACATTTCAGCAGCATGCTTAACATATTAAGTAGATATAATGGAACTGCTTACCTTCATGTATTCCAGTAATAACAGATCTTCCATTGTGTTATCCAGTGTTGTAACCAAATAAACTGGTTTCTCATTTTCATCTAAAAATAAAATTTTAAATTATCCTTTCATAGGAAAACTAACTAAGATGCTTTTTCCTATATCAATTCTAAGCCTTGGATTCTACCTTATCCAAGTCTTTATTTTTTTAAATTTTGAAAATATCATTTCTCCTCACAATTTCCTTCCCTTTTCTTATGTCAAACCACTGAAGTCCCATACCTTTCTAAACCCAAATTGGGTAGGAGTTAAGGTAAGAAAAAACAGCAATCCATTAAAGAAAAAAAAAACACAGAATGCTTTTTAGCAACAATGAAAGAGTAGGAAGAGAATTCTGGCCCTGGATTACAGAAGTAACTAAAATAACTATCAGAGTCCTTGAAAACCCAGTTGTTCAGAAGACAGATAAGGAATATGATGAGACATTAAGTTTTTCTGAAAATTAGGCTTATATTAAAATAAAGCCTATCATCACATAATCTATCTTTATTATATTACTGCTTCTGCTCAAAACCTGCTGCAATAGAAAAACTACAGTAGAATACTTTTTTTTTTAGATGGAATCTCACTGTCACCCAGGCTGGAGTGTAGTGGCACGCTCACGGCCACCGCAGCCTTGACCTGCTTGGCTCAGGTGATCCTTCTGCCTTAGCCTTTCAAGTAACTGGAACTACAAGCATGTGTCACTATGCCTGGCTAATTTTTTGATTTATTGTAGAAGTGAAGTCTTGTCAAGTTGCCCAGGCTGATCTCGAACCTGTTGGCTCAGGCAATCCTCTCACCTTGGCCTCCCAAAGTGCTAAGATTACAGGCATGAGCCACCGTGCTTGGCCTAGAATACATTTTAATATAAAGCCTTTAAAACTATCATCAGAATATAACTTATGGCTGCTAGAAATTAATATCTAGAGACTGGAAGAAAGGACTACAAACTAAACTATGATTTTACAAAAAAAAGATTACAAATCCCACAAAATCCTCCAAACTTGAATGCTTATTAGCATATAAATCACTTCTCTACTATAGATGCTAACCACACTTCAACCCTTAAAAGAATCCCCACTATGAGCAGTTGTTTGTTGAACAACCATTTATTGATCATTTACATTGTACAAGAAACTGTGCTAATCACTCCCTCTGAGAAAACAGAAGCAAAAAAAATTACAGAAATTGGTGCAGTGATAATTATACCCTTTATTCTGTTTCCAAAAGTTTTTTTAATCCTTTGCTCTTGTACAAACAACAAATAAGAATAGATATAAAAATTAACAACTACTATAATACTTCCAGATTACTAGAAAATACCATCAAGTAGGTTTACTTTTCTTTCCAATTACCACAGCAAACTCTTTCTGGATGATCCAACAATCATGCTCTTTAGTATTTACCAAATCAAATTGAAAACTTACATCTATACAAAAAAACTGCATGCAAATGGTCATAGCAGCTTTATTCATAACTGCTAAACCTTGGAAGTAACCAAGATATCTTCAGTAGATGAATGAACAAATAAATCATGCTATATTATTCATTGCTAAAAAAAAAAAAAATGAGTTATCCAGTAATGAAAAGGCATAGAGGTAACTTAAATACATATTACTAAGTGAAAAAAGTCAACCTGAAAAGGATAAGTATTTTATGATCACATACGTATTTTATGATCATATGAAAAGGTAACACTATAGAGACAGTAAAAGATCCATGACTGCCAGGGTTTAAGTGGGAAGGAGGAATGAAGAGATGGAGCTCAGAGGATTTTTAGGGCAGTCAAACTCTTCAGCATGATAATGTCAAATATATGTCATTATACATTTGCCAAAACACAAAACATATAACCCTAAGAGTGAACCCCAATGTAAATTATGGATTTGGGGTAATAATAATGTGTCAGTGTAAGTTCATCAATTGTAACAAATATACCACTCTGGTGGAGGATGTTGATCATGAGAAAGGTGCATGAGTACATGGGAAATGCAAAGAGTACATGGGAAATCTCTGTACCTTCTCAACTGTGCTGTGAATCTATAACTGCCCTAAAAACAAAATCTATTAAAAAAATTTTAATGTCACCTCACTCATATATATCACTATGCTACAAAGGAGTTTAATGAAATTAAGCTACTGAATAGTTGTCTTAATCATTACCTTTATCATTCATAATTATCTTTCAAATAAAAATCCAAAACTGAAGAAATATAAATAATATGCTCCTAAATGCCTAACACAGAAAAAAGAATATTTCTTAGAGATGATATATCCATTATTATTCTAGAACACAAATGGTTTATGGTGGGTAGAATACTGCCCTCAGCCCCCAACAAAGGTGTCTACACTTAAATCCCCTGAACCTAAGAATATATAACCTCATATTACAAAGGGACTTTGAAGATGTGATTAAGGGAATATTATCTTTGATTATGGAGGTGTGTCCAATCTAATCACTGGAGTTTTCAAGAGAAGAAGCAAAAGGCAGACTAAAAGGTTAGACAGATGGTAGTGTGAGGAGGATTTGATGCCGTGTGCTGGTTCTGAGATGTGAGGGTCTATGTGTAAAGACTGATAGATGCCTCAAGGAGCTAAGGGTAGTTATGAGTTTCCAGGCAACCAGGAAACACAGACTTAAACCACATGTAACAATTTTGCTAACGTCTGCACAAAGAAATGGATTCCCCTCTATAGCCTCCAAAAAGAAACTTCAGCTGACACCTTGATTTTTGCCCAGTGAGACTTGTGTCAAACTTCTGCCCTATACAATTTTAAAATAGTGGGGCCAAGCACCATGGTTCAGGGCTGTAATCCCAGCACTTTGGGAAGCTGAGGTGGGAGGACCACTTGAAGCTAAGAGTTTGAAACCAGCCTGGTCAAAATAGCAAGGTCCAGGCTCTACAAAAAAATTTTTTTTAATTAGCGAGGTGTGGTAGTGTGTGTCTTTAGTCCCAGCTACTTGAGAAGATCACTTGAGCCCAGGAGTTCAAGCTTAACTATGATCATGTGAGTTCAAGGTTATAGTTATCTATGATCATGCCACTGTACTCCAGCCCAGGCAAGAAAGACTTAATCTCTAAAATATAGTAATAATAAAACATTTTTGTTATCACAGAAACAAAGAACTGAGTACCACAAGCTCTCACTCATAAGTGGACCCTGAACATTTACCATAATACTGTAAGAAAGGGATTGGTAGTTGCTGGAAACCACGGGGGGATGGGGTGTGGAGGCACATAACATAAATAAGGGTACCTGATGCCAAACCAGGCAAAATGGAGACCAAAATTTACCTGTACAATGACCACATGTATACCTAATCCTGAATTGTGCTCCACATCTTTAAAATTTTAAAAGCAAATAAATTTTGGTTGCTTTATGATACTACGTTTGTGGTAAATTAGCAATAGGAAACTAATTTAGTCTTTCAGTATTCTGTTACATAAAAATAAAATTCAACCATGACCATATGATTGTCCTTTTTCTTTCTGAGTTGGAGTCTTACTCTGTCACCCAGACTGGGGTGCAGTGGCCGCTCTCGGCCACCGCAGCCTCGACCTGCTGGGCTCTGGCGATCCTTCTGCCTCAGCCTTCTGAGTAGCTGGAACTACAGGCGCGCACTACCACGTCCCACTCATTTTGATTTATTGTAGAGATGAGGTCTCACCAAGTTGCCCAGGTGGGTCTCGAACCCGCGGGCTCAGGCAATCCACTCACCTCAGCCTCCCAAAGGCGTGGGATTACAGGCTGAGCCACCGAGCCCGGGTTATTTGTCCTTAATGAAAAAAATTATCTTAATTTTATCTCTGGCCTACCCCCCTGGATTATCAACTATAAGATAAAAGTTAAAGATTAACTCATAATGTAATAGTTATCTAAGAATATTTTAGCAAATGTATTGATTCAGAGCCTAGAAAAATTGGCAAAAGGGAGCCAATAAAATTAAATGTATTATTCATGTTTGTTTATTTGTTTTAGATTCCAGACCAAAGTTTATGTCATTTAAAGCTAGCTTTTCTTCAAAGTTGTGCTTTTATTCCTAAGATTTAGAAAGCATACATACATTTCCAAGGTCACAAAGTCAAATGACAGAATTTAAATTCAAATCAAAATCTGTTCAAATTCAAAGCCTCATGCACTTGTAAATTTATTTTTAAAAACAGAAATTCTTACCGAAATATTCTGGGCATTTTAAGCAGAACTCTTTCAAAAAGGCATTTGCTTTCAAATCATATGTTCTAAACTCAATTCCGGTGCCCAATCCTAAAACATCAATTTCTACCACAGGTAGTTCACAATCTCCAACAAGGTGATAAAATTGAATCAAAACCTGAAGAAGAAAGAAGAAAGAAACTACCACTACATAAAACAAAAACATGCTTATGTGCATGATGGTCATATATGAATATGAAGTATATATATAAGTGATACATTATATATTTAAAATTTAGGAGAGATTTTATACTCATATATGCATACAATATACACACTACAAAAATAATCATTTTCAAAAAATGCATTGAATACCCACAATACGTCATTTAAACTCTTAATTCTTGATTAAGAAAGTTATTTTCAAAAAACGAGAATGAAGAGGAAACAAGTCTGGATTTAACTTAATCAGAAAAAAGAGTGCTTGTTAGCAATACAACTATACAAATAAGCTACAAACAGTAGAAATAGCAAACAATTTAAATAAGTCACATTAATCTTACCACAGTACTTACCTCTGGTACTTCAAATTGTATTTTACACATAGTCACATTTACTGAAAAATCCTGCTTTTGTAACTTTTTGTGTCGAGTACTTTTAATTCTTGTTGGAAACTGAAGAGACTCTTCCAAGGGACTACATGGTGCATCAAAAAATTCTTCCTCTGAGTCTGAATTTCATAGAATATTGTTTAAGTCAATAATAAAAATGATCACTTTAACAGCATTTTACTATTTTTTCTGAAATAAATATGAAGATTAAAACACTTAGGGTCTATTTTAAAAATTGAATATAAACTTGAGAATCAAGATAAATAGAAAAAACCAGATTGCTGTACTTTTAAACTATCATGATGACAAAAATCTATGGAAAATTACAAAATGTGATTTTTTTTGTTTTAGTTTTTATTTTTTTAAAGATAGGTTCTCACTCTGTCACCTAAGCTGGAGTATGGTGGTGCAATCATAACTCACTGAAAGCCTCAAACTCCTGGGCTCAAGCAATCCTCTCTTTTTAGCCTATCGAGTGGCTGCCTGGTTAGTATTTTTATTCTTTGGAGAGACAAGTTCTCACTATGTTGTCTGGGGTGGTCTCCAACTCCTGGCCTCAAGCAATCCTCCCACATCTGCTTCTCAAAGTGCTGGGATTACAGGCATAAGTCTCTGTACTCAGCCACAAAATGTAATCTTTAGCATAAAGATCATCTTTTGAAATCAACAGTCTATTTTAAAGTTGTTTATGACAATGCCAATAATTATACATATAATGAATATGCATAATAACATCTTTTTTTTTTTGAGTTGGAGTCTCACTCCATCGCCCAGGCTAGGGTGCAGCAGCACATTAATGGTCACCCCAGCGTCGACCTGCTGGGCTCAGGCGATCCTTCCGCCTCAGCCTTCCAAGTAGCCAGAACTACAGGCATGTGCTAACATGCCTAGTTAATTTTTTTTTTTAATTTATTATAGAGATGTGGTCTTGCCAAGTTGCCCAGGCTGTTCTCAAACCTGTGGGCTCAGGCAATCCTTTCACCTTGGCCTCCCAAAATTCTGGGATTACAGGCTTGAGCCACCATGCCCAGCCTGCAAAGTAACATCTTCATGCTCACTCTACTTGGATAGTATATGAGGACTTAGTTATAAACTAAAATATAAGCAGCAGAGGACAAGCCCTGAAGTTGAATGGAGTAAACTGAAATCAAATACTACTTGTATGTGTATACACATACACATATAGGTATATACACATTGATATATGTATACAAATGTATACACATTGATATCAAAAAGAACCAAAAACTGAAAAAACATTCAACCACTTAGTAAAACCATTGAAAAGAGGTTTAAAGGGCACTAATACAATCAGAAGTATATATTTAATAATCTAAGATTGAAATTAAAGTAGATAACCTCACAGGCAACATGTCTCTGGTAACTGCACACAAGAAAACATTCTCTAAAAGAACAAAAATCAACATGGCAGTTTCTGTTATCTAACATTTGGCACATTTTTAATGTCTTAGAAATGCAGAAAAACATTTTTTCTTAATGTGATCATAAATAAGTAGATAACTAATATCAGAATATTTATACGTTTTTAAATATGAATGTAGGTATTAAAACTTTTTTCTTTTAATAATGAAAATATAGTTTTTAAAGTTAAAAAATGTACTTTAGCAAAATTTTCCAAATAACACATTATAAGTTAGACATCTATAAAGTTGTGAAAGAGAAAAAACAGAATCTTGGGACCCCAAACTCACTATGCCAAAGGGATAATTAGGGTTGGGAATTAAGTCACATGTAAAACAAAACAAAACAAAACAAACCAGCCTTCCTTTTGTTCTTAAACATACAGCTTTAATTTCACATCTTCACTATCTTATGTGAAATATAGATTTACTGAGCACAGAGAAAAACACATAATTAACTTCCTCTACCTCTTTTCACATGTAAAATGTAGATTCACTAAATACTAATCAAAACCTCACAGGAACTAACCACTTGCCTCACACCTATCCTCCTTTCTCCTTCACCTCCTGCTTGATCCTTTCCCTTTAAATACTGAAGTCCTCAAAACTCTCTTTGGAAAAAGCAAAAGCCACAGATCCTACAGTGACTTGTTCTTCTTTTTTCCAGGAGTGTCCTCAACTTTGGCAAAATAAACCTCTAAATCAACTGATATCTGCTTCAGTCACTTTTTGGCTTACAAAGTTTTGTGGGGTTTTTTTAACTCACAGTCAAATAAAGATGATTAATCTATAGTTGGTCCTTGTGACTATGAGTTCAATTTTTATATTCCAAAAAAATCGCATTGCAAAAGCAACCTTAAGGAACATCCAAATTTTATTATTTTAAGAAAATTTTAGTAGAAATTTCCTGAAAATATAAAAGTATCTGCTATTGCCTGATATTTTTATATAACTATAGTACACTAGAATATGCCACTCCAAAAGATGTCTTTTGGCATAAGGACTGTAGTGAGTTTTATTATTTTGAGAACAGCAGACACAGAGAAAGCTTTAAAGGCAGAGTGTAAGTTTCCTTTTTGCAAAGGAAATTAACATTTATTAAGGAAAGCTACCTTTGTAAAGGTCTCCCTCTCTGTACTAGGCCATTTTGGTGGAGAAAAGTCATTTAAAAAATACTTAGAAACTTGTACTGGGAAACTTTCTTTGTAGCTGAGTTGGGCTAATCATAGAAGCCACTTGAGTTTAAAAGTGCACGTTTTTCTTCTCCCTCTTCACTGCCCTTGGACCTAGTAATTATCGCTGGTACTGAAGGGAACACAACCATCTGCACTGAGCCCCCTGATAAGCAGGAGATGCAAGAACACTGCATGCCCCTGAAAAAGCCTTTGCTTTTCAGGAAAGATAAGAAATGGCCTCTGTTGAAACTCCCTAAAACTCAGAAATGTATCTGTTCCCTTAGTTTTTTAGATGGCAACTACTTTCTTTCATGTGTTTGTATTAATTTTATGTATAATGTCTAAGCCTTGTGAACCAGAATAAGAAAAAAACTGTAACCAACTGGAAAGTACAGGCAGCCTCAAATTGTTCAAGGTAATTGTAACTTAGAAGAATGGCAATATTGATATAATCTGAACACTGGGCTATGCAAGCAACTGCATTGTGTCTAAACAGAGATTAGAAAAAAGAAAATGAGCAATGGTCATAGGACATGTATTATTATTAGTATTAGCATTATTATTACTAGTCAATAGCTGAGACAGGTAAGACACTGCCTGCTTTGCTATAGATATTGTACGAAAACTTTGCCTAAATGAACAGCTTTTTGATGGCTACACAGCCTGTACCCTCCCATAGTATCAGGATAAAACTCCTTCTTCTCCCATCTCTCTGCCTCTCATATTTGATTGACCACAACGGAAGCAGCCGATTGTTGGATGGAACCATGACATCAGGAAAGATGACTCTTAATCACAAGACATTCTTATCAAAGGAGAAGGCACTCAATTAAATATGCATACAAACTTTACTCTTGTTTACCATATATTTCCTGGTCACCTTCCCATAATTTGCCTCCCCCTACCCTAAGCATTGAAGCCCAAAACCTCTCCTCCTTTGTTTAAGCCCAAGTTGGTATATAAACCAAATTTTAATCACTTATCCCTGAGTTTTTTCTGTGTACACACGAGATATGAATGTTAATCAATTTCTATTTATTTTCTCTTGTTAATCTTTCTTTTGTTAGCAAAACCTCAGTGAAGAACTTAGAGGTTAAAAGGAAAAGACATTTCCCTTCTTTTTATGTAGTCATTTGAGGAAAATATGCCTCAAAATGGAAATTGTTTTAATAAATGTATAATAAAGAAAATATCCTTAAGTGGTTTCATTTTACCATCTTCAGAAACTGAGGGAAGATCCAAGAGAGGGATTACTTTCTGTGAAATCTGTGCTGTTCCCAAAGAAGAAGATGCTTGAATCTGAAAGAAAAATAATTCAATGTCAATTAGCACAAAGACATTTATTCAAAGTTTTACAACAATTTTGTTTGATTAATATGTAGTTACATATTAATCAAGCTATATCACTGCTGCTTTTATGCTTGCTTCTGGACATCCTGGGCTTGAAATAAAGATACTGTACTACTGTACTCTATACAGTACTTTAAAGTACACAAAAGCACAACCACTTGTAGAGTATGTATGACAATGGATGCCAGACATGTGAACTAACTAATGTGAATGGACATGCAAATGCACATTCACATGTTTGAAAGTTTGCAATTTGAAGGTTCATATGTAGGGGACTTACTGTATAAAGATACAATTTGTGGCAATGCAAGTTAACATTTAGGGGAGGTAAACTGAGCAGTACTGGAGAAGTTTTTCTATGATACTGTGGTTAGTTGGTATCTAATTAAAATGTAATCTAAACTCAGGATGCTAAATGTAACTTATGTAGTTACCATGAAGAAAATATCTTAAAGTACACACAAAGAAAATTACAAAGGAATCACAATAGCTCAGTACAAAAAAATCAACTAAACATAAAAAGAGGCAATTCAGTAATAAAGAAAATGAAAGACAAAAATATAAGATATAAAGAAACCAAGTAGCAAAATGGCAGAAATGAGTCCTTCGTCATCAATTATTACTTTAAATGTCAATAGACTGCACTATTCAATCAAAGTGCACAGATTGGAAGAATGGATTTAAAAGTATGATCCCACTATATGCCATCTAAAAGACACTCACTTTAAAGTCAAAGCCATAAATACATTAAAAGTAAAAGGACGAAAAAGCATATTCTATGCAAATTGTAAGCACAGGCCAGGCTTCGTGGCTCATGCCTGCAATCCCAGCACTTTGGGATGCTGAGGCAGGAATATTGCTTGAGTCCAAGAGTTTGAGACTAGCCTGGGAAACATGACGAGACCCTGACTCTACAAAAAATTAAAAAATTAGCTAGGCATGGTGGCACATGCCTTTAGTCCTAGTTACTTGGAGTGAGGTGGGAAGATCACTTGAGCCAGGAGTTTGAGGCTGCAGTGAGTTATGACCATGCCACTGCAATCCAGCCTGGGCAAAGAGCAAGACCGGGTCTCTATTTAAAAAAGAAAAAAAAGTAAACACAATAGAGTTGAAGTAGTTATGGTAATTTCAGAAAAAAATCTTTCAACGAAAATTATGATAAATAACATAAGAGTCATCATATATTAATAAAAGGAACAGTTCATTAGGAAGATAAAACAATTATTAACATATATGTCCTCAATAATAGTATCCCCAAATACTAAATAAGACACTAGTAGAAAGATTGGAGAAATAGTTCTACAATAGATGAAGACTTCAATATCCCAGTTTCAATCAAGAATTTAGACAGAAGATTAATAAGAAAAAAATAACATTAACAATACTATAAGGCACTAGATATGACAGCTCTATATAGAACATAACATCCAACAAGAGCAGAATACACATCCTTTTCAAGTACATGTAGAACATTCTTCAGAACAGACCATATGTCAATTGAAATCATACAAAGTATCTTCTCTGACTTCAACTGGATCAAGCTAGAAATCAACAGCAGAAGGTAAACTGGAAAATTCACAAACACATAGACGTTAATACTCTTAAACAATAGATGTGTCAAAGAAGAAATCTGAAAAAAATTCAAATATTTTGAGATGAAGGAAAAGGAAAATACAACATAGCAAAAAAAGATGTGGTAAAAGCAGTGCTCAGAGGGAAATTTCTAATTATCAACGTATATAGCAAAAGAGAAGAGAGATCTCAAATCACTAACTTTATTTAATAGCTCAAGGAGTTAGAAAAATGAAAAACAAATTAAACCAAAAGCTAGCAAAGGGAAATAAACATAAGAGTAGACATAAATGACATAGTGAATAGTAAAACAACAGACAGAATGAACAAAAAATAAATTAACAAAACTGACAAATTGTCAGATAGACTAAGAAAAAAGAAGTGTAAATTCCTAAAAATCAAAAATAAAATTTACATCATTACTGCTAACTTTACAAAAGTAAAAAGAATTATAAAGCATACTATGAAAATCCATAGGCCAACAAATTAGATAACAGATGAAATAGACAAATTCCTAGAAGACAGATATAAACTGACTCAAGAAAAAAAACTAAAATCTGAACAAACTTAGACTAAGAGACTAAAACAGTATTCTAAATCCTGCTAGGAGAGAAAAGTTAGCCTTCACTAATAAGATCTACTAAAAATTTAAAGAAGAATTAACATCTTCTTCCTCAAACTCTTCCCATTAAGTAGAAGAGGAGAAAATATCCTAACTCTTATATGAAGCCTAATAACAAAGCCAGATAAATATATCACAAAACAAAAAACTATATGTCAATATACAAACCTAACAGCCTACTAAAAGCACTGTATGCCATTACCAAGAGGAATTTGTCCTAGGAAAGCAAAGATAACTCAACAATTAAATTTATACCATTATTGTAAAATAACACTTTAATAGTACAAAAGAGTAATACCGGGTAACATAATGACCCCTTGTCTATACAAAAAAAAAAAAAAAAACACTGAACTGGGCATGGTGGCATGTGCCTATAGTCCCAGGTACTGGGGAGGCTGATGGGGAAGAATCACCTGAGCCTAGGAGGTCAAGGCTGTGGCGAGTCATAAACATGCCACTGCACTCCAGCCTGGGAAACAGAGTGAGACCCTAACTCAGGAAAAAATTTTTTTTGTTTAACTTTTGTCCTCCAAAAGACATGAAGAAAACAAAAAGTTCACCAACAGACAAGAAAAAAAAATACTGCAAAATACTAAAGTAATGGGACACTATGCCAGCTAATGGATTGAGGAGGAAAAGTCCTTTACACTATTTCTGCAAATTTTTTTTTTTTTTAGTTGGAGTCTCACTCCATATCTCAGGCTGGAATGCAGTGGCACACTCACAGTCACCCCAACATCGACCAGCTGGGTGCCAGCGATCCTTCCGCCTCAGCCTTCCAAGTAGCCAGAGGCATGCGCTATCACACCCGACAAATTTTTGATTTATTGTACAGATGAGATCTCGCCAAGTTGCCCGGGTTGGTCTCAAACACATGGGCTTAGGCATTCCACTCGCCTAAGCCTTCCAAAGTGCTGGGATTACAGGCTGAGCCACTGAGCCTGGCCTTGCAATTTTTTAAACCTGAAATTATTAATAAAAAAAAAAAATTTAAACATGAATAAAGACCCCCCCCCCAAAAAAAAATAGAGAAAATTGTGAATATATATTTTCTCTGTGAAATTTTCTTGGAAAGAAAAAAGTCACATAATCAAAGTTCAGAAGTCTTGAAGGAAAAAGCTAACAGATATGATAATGTAAAAGGTAAGAAGATTTTGCACAGCAAAAATAAATATATGTATGGGATAAAAGTCAAACAGCAAAATGGAAAAAAATAATTTTAAATGACAGGTATATTATTTCCTTAATTGAAAAACCATAACCCAATAGAAAAAAGATATGAACAGTAGTATCCAAAAACAGAAATTCAAATAGCCAATAAACTTAGGAAAATATGTTCTATCTACTCATTAAAAAACGCAAATTAAAAGCAGAAGATAATATTTTTTCACTTGGAATGAAATTTTAACATTTGCTTATGAGAGTGGAGAAAATACATTCATTCACTGTTAGTGAACTATAAACTAATTTTCAATTTAGAAAATAAATTTGGCAAAATTTAAAATTCATATACTCTTTTACTCAACAATTCCACTTCTAGGAATTTATCCTATAGATAAAAGTATCAACAAATATATCTATAAGGAGGTTCAAAGCAGTATTTTCATAACTTTAAACATTCATCACTATGTGAATGTTCATCAAAAGGAGATGTATTAGACAAAAGATGGAATATCCACACAATTCAATACTGTATCACTATGAAAAAAATGAAATTACATCTGTATATACTAACACAAAAACATCTCTAAGGTATATAACATGTATACATGTATAATAGTGAAAAGAATACAGATTCAGAAAATAAGCATAATGATCTCATTTATTTAATATTCAAGAACATAAGAATATGCATACATTGCATAAACACACTACACTGTACTAATACCATAAACACTTTTTTGAAAAACTAGAGAAACAATAGTCAACAATGTTACCACTGGAGAGAGGCACCAGAGGCTGCAAAAGTGACAAAAGGTAGATTTATCATTTTATATCTTTCTTAACTATTTGTACTTATTACCATTTTACCAATTTTCTTTTAAAATGTATTTTTAAAATCTCTACTCAAAATGAATTATAAATTGTTTTATCTGAAATTCCTGAGGTTGCTTTAAATATTATTTGTGGACTTTCTTATTTCATGTTTATAATAATTCAGAAAATAACATTACCTGAAATGATTTGACAGGGGCAGATACTTCCGTTACAGGTTCAGGTTTTGGAATGCTTTCAACCAGTTCCATAATCCCTTGCAGTTTTTTATCTGAGATTCGTAAAGAAATAAGAGGCAACCTTCCAAAAATCTTGAACCTGTTTTAAAAAGATAGTAATCATTAGAGGATTTTCATTCTGATTTAAGTACACTAATTAAAAAGAAGACTGTTCCCCTCAAATTAAATATGATCTTAAGCACTAAATATCTTTCATCCAAATTCTACCTTCTTATTAATCAGTCTAATTAGATGTGCTAAATTCATTATTTTTCAAATGTTTATTTTCTAATACGATTTCATTTCTTGTTCTTCCATTGTCTGCCAAATACAGTTGACGATTAACATTTATCAAGTGTGGCCCAGCACAGTGGCTCAAGTCTATAATCCCAGCACTTTGGGAGGCCTAAGCAAGAGGGTTGCCTGAAGGGGTTTGAGACCAGCCTGGGCAACTTGGTGAGACCTCATCTCTACAATAAATCAAGAAATTAGCCAGACGTGGTAGCGTGCACCTGTAGTTGTGGCTACTTGGAAGGCTGAGGCGGAAGGATCCTGAGCCCAGCAGGTCGATGCTAGGGTGGCTATGAGCATGTCACTGTACTCCACCTTCGGAAACCGAGTGGAACTCCAAAAAAAAAAAAATTTAGCAAGTGCTTCTTAGGTGACAGGCATTGAGAAAAGCACTTTAGCATCATTGTAAATAGTCATCAAGACCTATGAGGTACACAACCTACTTCTGCCCATATTTTTTATAAGTTCCCAAGTGTACACGGATCCTATAAGAAAACTAAGGCTTAGCAAGGTCAAGTAACTTGTTCAAGAGATTATACATCTAAAGCCATGATGCAAAACCAGACCAGAGAACTTTATTATTTTAATTGCCTTGGCAGCCTCCTTTGCTTACAAATGCAAGATAAAGAATTAATTAAGATATCAGAGAAAGTTTTCTTTCACTATTTCTATTCCTGCATTTTTCCTAAAACTTACTTTTTCTTTTTTTTCTTTGAGTTGGAGTCTCACTCTGTCACCCAGACTGGAGTGCAGTGG